GTGTCCCGAATGCCATTGCCCAGTAGCTGCGACTAGTCAACGCAGCCCAACCCATGGATGTTAGTGAGATGGCCAAGGTGACCAGACAGCTGATGGGTACAACTGTAGCTACAGTAGAGTCACCAGAGGTAAATAACTGGAAAAACAAACCGACAACTTTCAGGAGGAGGTGGCTGCACTTCGAATGAACATCAACAGACAGGGTAAATGCTTAGCATGGGGGAAACTTGGACACTAGCGACGAAATTGTCCGGAGAGGCGGAAAAGAAAACGTTTTGAACGATATAATATGAGTTTTGTTTTCCCGACTAGACTAGATATGTAGGAGCCGTAGATCGAGGTGCTGTATATGCTAGGATGCGAATAAGTGACCGGGGGATCATGTGTCTAATAGATACGGGGCGGCAGTCTCGCTAATAGATAAGAGTCAGTTTCAGAACATAAGACCATGTTCGCTAACGGTCCACACACTTGGGTGATATGCATTAGAAATCGCAGGCTTATCAGATTGCGTCATCGAGATAGGTAGTCGGAAAATTAGATTTCCATTCATTTTGACCACGCGTCTACAACAGCCAATCTTAGGTGCTGATTTTTTGAGGGAAGTGGATGCCGTTATTAACACGAGAACAGGAATAGTGGCGACGAAGTACGGATCCTTCACCACGCAGGAAAACAGCGAGGTAGCATAGGTTAAGGTTTCAAGAGCACCACACCCAGAAGCGCCAAACATCATGAAGTTGGTTAAGAAATACGTCAGATTGTTCACGGGATATGGAGACCCCTACGGACACTGTGACAAGGTTCAGCATGAAATCCCAGTAACCAGTCAGGCAATAACAACATTTATCACACGGCGAATACCATGTCACTTGGAAAGAGAAGTTTGGAGCCAGGTTCAGGAAATGCTAAACGAAGGTGTTATTGAAGAGGCTGATAGCCTTTACAGTTCGCCAGTGCTTTTGGTAAGAAAGTCAAATGGGAAATATAGATTCTGCGTTGATTTCCGAGAGTTAAATAGCATAACGCAACTGAAGCCGTGTGCCGTGCCTACGGTAGCTGAAACACTGGATCGTTTGGAGAATGCAAAAGTATTTACAGTTCTGGACCTCCGCTGAGGCTACTGGCAGCTACCAATAAAAGAAGGCGATAAAGAGAAAACAACATCTATTGTGGGCAAGAAGCAATACCAATTCAAGCGAATGCCATTTGGTCTGGCAGGCGCGCCATTTACATTCAGACGGTTGATGATGTTGCTGAAGAATTTAGAAAACATAGAGGTGTACAGTGATGACCTGGTGGTGTACAGTGGGACGGAAGCAGAGCATCTGGAACACCTGGAAGCTGTTTTAAGATGCATTGACGAGTTTGGACTTCGCATCAATAAGACAAAATCTCAGGTAGCCAAGAAGAGTGTTACATTGCTAGGACATAAAGTTGGAAATGGTGAAATGAAACCATTATCTGAGAGGACTCTGACAGTTAAAGCCATTCCAGTGCCGAATTCGAAGAGGAAACTGCGACAGTTCTCGGGTAAAGCAACATTCTACAGTCGGTTCCTCAAAACATTCAGTGAGATGGCTGCACTTTTAAATAAGCTACTTGGCAACCCAAAATTTTTGTGGACGGAGGAGGCACAGAAAACGTTTGATCACATCGAGGAACTCCTAAGTTACCAGGAGGTGACTTTAAAACTACCAATACCCGGGAGACCATTCATCGTACCCACCGATGCAAGTAAATATGGAATGGGCGCAGTTCTGAGACAGACTGAAGGAGTAGTGGAGTATGCCAGCCGTGTCCTGACACCTGAAGAACAGAAATATTCCATAGTTGAAAAAGAATGTCTGGCGATAGTTTGGGCACTTGAGAAATGGAGATCGTACCTCCTCGGTCAACGATTCCATATTGAAACTGACCACAAACCTCTACAGTGGCTAATGGCAGCGAGAGACCCCAGAGGAAAATTATCACGTTGTATGTTACAACTGCAAGAGTACGATTTAACAATCAGCCATGTGGTTGACAGACTTCCTATCAATGTGAGACGAAAAAAATGAGCTACCTGAGATCGCATACAGTGTACATGCAGTGGAACTGGACCCATTAAGAATTATTCGCCTTCAGAAGTCGGACTCGATACTTAAGTGGTAAAAGCCATTACTGAAGGAACAGAGACACAAACGTTTATGGAAAATAAAGAGTTGAGAAAGTTGTTGACGCAGAAAGAACGCCTATGGATGAATACTTGTGGAATGCTGACGTGGCTGGAAAACAACGGGAGGTGGTTGGCAGTGATTCCGAAATGTCTACGCGACAAAATGATACAAGAATGCCCCCAGTTAGCTCATGCAGGTGTCTCACGGACAGCCGACCTTCTCAGACGAAGTGCATACTGACCAGGCATGAGAGATGTTGCCAAACACGTGCTGAGTTATCCTCATTGTCAACTGATGAAAGGTGATAGGCATGTACGACCGACGCTTTAGTCGATTCCAGTGAAGACAGTTGGTGACTTGTGGACGTAATGGGACCATTTTCGCAGACGTCTAGTAGCAACCAATACCTGTTGGTGATGACGGAGCATGCTACACGATGGGTAGACACTGTCGCAATCCTAGATCAACGCGCGAAGATTGTGACAGCAGCTGTGATGCGGCATATTGTCACAGATCACGGTGTATCGAAAATGATAATGACCGACCAAAGTCCTTGTTTTGAGAGTGAAGAATTCAAATCCTGTTTGGAACAGCTTCATATCAAGAGGATAAGAACGACGCCGTACCACCGGCAGACTAACGGTTTGACAGAACGTAATAACCGTTGGCTTCGAAAGGAGGAAATTTGAAGCCGAAACTGCCGTTAATATTATTAGCTCATCGTGTCTCGGTAAAACGAACAACCAAGAAGTCGTTGTTCCAGTTAATGTATGGCAGAATACCACGGCTCCCAATACATAGTAAGATCTGGCTTCAACAACAGTCATGGAACATGACTAGACTGAGAAATAAGCGGGAACAGGCAATCAGAAACATAAGACGGAAACAGAAAGCTGATGCTGAGAAATCTGACCAGAGAGAAGGAAGCAAATGGAAATAGTTTGAGATCGGAGATCAGGTAAAATGTGAAGAATGAGGATATACGCTAGGAGGTGAATACGGTAGAAGGAAACTACTCCCGAAGTGGGAAGGACCATACATCATCACCGAGAGACGCGGTTCAGTTTATACCATCAAAAAAGGGGACAAAGAGTAAAGAGTAAGCGCCAGCCTACTTCAAAAATGAAAGGCAGCAGGAAAAGGACGAAACTTTGCATGAACACCAAGAGGAAACAGCATCAAGATGATCAACACGGTTGCAAGCCCAGAATTTTGAGGGGGGGGGGACTAGTCTGGTGGGCGTTGCTATTAAGAATGGATATAAGTAGTATATGTTGAGAGGGTGGCAGAAATCGTAGGGAATTAACAGCAGTGGGTAAGGATTCCGCCAAGAGAAGCGCAAGAGACAAGGCAGGTGTATGAAGAGCAAATCAAGAAAGAAGCAGAAGAGGAAATGAAGCATATTTTGCAAATGACGGTTTCAGTGCAAGGTGTACTGTATTTAACGACTACTGTCCCACTTGTCGACAATAAACATTCCTTCCTGCATGCCTGTCTTTTTGCTTCTTTCAATACCACTACTGCAGAAGGTCTGGAAAGAAATAAAGGTACCTGCCGATTGATTAGAAGAAGGGCTCCCTTGTCAAACTCCCAAAGAAGGGAGACCTAAGTCTTTGCAAGAACAATAGCTGGCTCGGAATCATGCTTCTGTTCACCCCAAACAAAATACTAAGCCACATCATCCTGGAGAAACTAAACAATGTGCTGGATTCAAAATTACCACAGGAACAGACTGGCTTCAGGAAGAACAAATAATGTGCGGATCAAATTGCAACACTACGCTACGCATCATCATAGAACAGAGCATAGAATGGCAGTCAACTCTCTGCCTCAACTTCATCGACTTTGGAAAGGCCTTCGAAAGCGTCGACCGAGAAGTAATTTGGCAGTTGCTTCAACACTACGGAGTACCACAAACCTTTATCAACTTCATTCAACAGCTATATGGAGACGCCATATGTCAAGTGATTCACAATGGAAAGCTCAGTGACACCTTTGAAGTGAAGACAGGAGTAAGAGAACGCTGCTTGCTATCACCGATGATCTTCCTGATTATGGTGGACTGAATCATGCAACAAACTGTGAGGAGCGAGAAGATGGGCATATGCTGTTTGACCGATGAAAAGACCTTAGAAGATTTGGATTTCGCCGATGATGATTTATGTCTAATATCGCACAAACTCGAAGATCTACAGACAAAAACCAACAAGTTGGCAGAAGAGGGAGCGAAGACGGGACTTCAAGTGAACGTAGAGAAGACAAAGATGATAAAGATAGCCAACCACCACCACCAACAACAACAAGCACCAATCACCATCAACGGGAGAAACCTAAAGGAAGTAGTCTCTTTCACCAACCTAGGCAGCATCGTCGAGTGGAACCCAAAGGGGAAACAACGATTTGGGCATCCGAGGTGAGGGTGACATGGAGGAGATCGTGTGAGGAAGAAATGAAAGCTACTGGGCAGTCGTGGAACCAGGTTCAAAAGACTACAGAGAATAGAGTGAAATGGAGACGTGCTACTGAAGCCCTATGTTGCACTAGGAACCCAAGGGACTAATAATGGAATAGATACGATTATGCTGACTACATTAAAGCGTTTCTGATTTGAGTTTCGTCTATGCTAAAGAATAATCGGTTTTATCACTAAGGAATTGCGCGTTAGTCATAGATTGTAAAGTTGTTATTTCGGTTAGGTTTAGATCTTCTGCAAGCTTATCGATAAATAAACCGTGGATAGATGTTTCGCAGGATACGATTTTTATCTCATTTTCGGTGTTTTAAGTCACTTAAATCTTAACTGCATTATCTTAAATTTTTCTGCATTGTGTTTTTGTACAGGTTTCTTTCCAAGCATCATGTATGATACATCTGTGCCGTGACATCCTGAAAGCGTTCATTACTCAAGTATTACCAGATGTATGTCCCCCAGCTAACAGTTCAACGGAACACATATTCAGTCCATCGTTTTTACAGGCTGTAGAGACTGGTACATTTGATACGCCTCGTTGGCCACCGAGTCAAATAGCTTTCCCTGTGGAACACAATTTTTTACAAAATGACTCTCCCCTTTCTCATGTCTGTGCCAGACTCACTATGACACAGTATGCAGAACACATCAATGTTGTTAGACGTCTATCAAGACAATCTGTAAATACACCAAGTACATTAGCAACAGATGTTTCTGGATCATATGCCACTCCTCCAAATAATGCACCTAATGTGAACATTTCATCAAACTATTCCACATCCTAGTTTTTTATCTATATTTTCTCTTAATAAATAAAATATGAGTGCTATTTATACAAATCCTTGACTTCTGATATACTTTATCTTCATTTCATGTAGACTAATTTTTGTATATAAATCTAATGTTATTATAGTCAACTATCCTCATCGTGATTATTCGTGTGTGTGTAAGTTTTCGTTATTCCTATTTGGGTTTCGGTTTTTGGGTGAGATTGGTTTTATTGACATCGATTTTATCCATGTTTGGTTTCTGTGTGATTTGTTGACTGTGTCTCCACCCCTTTTCGTCTTTGCACGTGATTTGTTCTGTTTTAGTATGTGGTGATCATTAGTCTTGTTTGCGTCACCAATGTATGTTGCATTATAATAACAGTACGTGTTAAAAGTGTACACCGTTATGATTTTGAACACATGTTTACTACCTGACCTACTGGAGTATTTTTAAAAACTAACTCATAGCTTGAAGACAGGATTAGAAGCTAGAACTGTGCAGTTGGGTTGTTGATTAAACAATTTTTTTCGTCAGCATAATAGCATTCACACATGTTTTAATATGGTGCTGCGAATTCACTTCAATTTTCAATATTTATGGCAAGTGATACTTTCTTGATTAGATGTTCATCAATTGAAAAAATTGTAATCTAATTGGGAGTCTGTTTTCCCGTTAAATTATAGCGTGTAAAAAGACTAGTCGCGTTCGATTTTTGTTACTCATGCATGTTGTAGTATTGTAAAAAATGGCGGACAACAGTGTACCGTTGTTTGCATATTTAAAAACTGGGAGATAGTCGATTCGGATTAGCTACATGTCACACCCAAAATAGGTAACTGAATCAGTTTGGGTTGGAATTCATTATGAGTTGACATCAATTGGAGGAACATTGGCAACCTGGGAGCACTGGACGGCTGTTTCGACCTGGCATGGGACTCTTCAGCAGTGCGCAACCACGACCCCGCTCCCAGGTTCCCAATTTTCCTCCAACTGATGTCAGTTCATCATGAATTCCAACCTGAAATCAACTAATGTCTCCACAAACTTTGAGACTGAATCAATCTAGCCCCCACTGGTGACTAAATTCAAGAGGTTATTCCCGAAGTCCCAATGAGAAGTCGTGACCAGTGGAGCTAACCAAGTCAAACATTAGGACAGTTACTGAACGGTGACATTAGGCGGAGATTGCGCTATATCGTGAAATGACAGAAGCAGGAAATATGAACGTTTGGGTTCCGACTCGTTGGCTGAATGGTAACATGCTGGCTGTGGAACCTGAAGGTCCTAGGTTCGATCCCTGTGGTGCGGGTTCATTGGTGCGCACTCCTAAAGAGAGAGTCCCATACTAGGATGAAACAGCTATCCAGTCCTTCAAGGTTTCTCATATTCCTCTAACTGATGTCAGTGGATAATAAATTCTAACCTGAAGTCAATTAATAAATCTTCACAAACCTCCTGATTTAATGAATCAATTTGGCTTAAATACAGTATTATGCATTATTAAGAAATTCCTCTCAAGATGTCAAAATACATGTAGTAGAGGGCATGTTTAAAGTTTAACTGCTTCCACGATAAATCTAATTAAAAGCATGAGAGAAATGGTAGGTGGTTGTGGAACTTTTGACTGTATGAAAAAGTTGGCAATTCTCGAAATCAGAGTGGTCTTTTCGAAAAATCGCAGTGTTGATTTTTCTATAGAAGATGATATGCTATTCGATATTCAGAATTTTCAGTGTATTCATGCATATGTGAATTTTACAAAATACTGTATCATATTGAGTTACTGATGAAGCTGTTATTTGTATCACAAATATCCTGTATGGAGATTCTCAGTAGAACACCATCTCTAGGGATTTTGGAAACTTAGCTATTTCATGAACTACTGTAAGGCTTCTTGGCAGTGGTTTTTCGTGTGTTATATTCAAACCAAATGCTTGTCTATGAAGTGTTTATACAAGTAATCTCGAAGAATCTGCATTTAAATTATTCATTTCACACCACACAGTCGGTGAGAAAGTTGAAATTGGTCCACTCTAGAGTAGGCATGTGTAAACTCGAAAAAGCCTAGTAATTCAGGGAAACATTTGGTGGTTTATGCGTTTATAAGAGCCAATGTATTCTACTTGGTGGTTAACAGTGGAATCTAGGGTGCGTGTTTCGTCCAGTTTTAGACTCATCAACTGGATGTATCGAGGTCTCCGCATAGGAGCCCATCTGTCGACAGAAGTAGAACAATTCGCCCCAGTATGGGGCAGGGAACTACAGGTGTCAGTTAAAAAATTTCCTATAGTTCTTATTCGCTAATACCGAGGTTCGTAAGACTAAAGAAATGACTCCCTTTGGGTACTGTCTTTTTTCCTTCACGAAAGATGGATATGAATAATCTCTAGAATTGTGCATATATAGAATTTGGGCTAAATAATAGATATCATCAACAGATTGGAAAAATGAAACCAGTTTCAGTATGTTACTGTTGTCTTATGTTCGTGATCAGTTAACTGATAAACGGAGTGGGAATATGAATCAATATGACCCTTTACGAGTCGTTTGTCGATAGGGCATATGTATTCTCTTAAAACATTTCGGATTCTGAACCATGTATGCATTAGAATTAATTTGGATACGGAAAATGATATATTTCCTATGCTATCTAGCAATGAAAAAGAATAAATACTATCTTTAAGTTACTTCCAACGGTATCCACAAATCCGTTTGTACATACCAAGGTAAGTGTATCAGAATGACAGAAGAATAGGCTTCTATCGCTTTCTTCTAACATAGTTCGAAAAATCTAAAGATAGGCGCTCAGCTATTTTTAGGTGCAGTCACCCAAAAGAATCAGTCCATTGTAGATACCGTTACTGATGTTATAATGAACAATAGACAAAGAAGACTAACCTTTCTTTGTTTCGTACTATGTTTTACCGTAAAACGTTTCACTTATTACCTCATGGAAATGGATTGTGACTAATTTGGTATTAACCTCAATCGACCACTTTCCTTCCAAGATAATTCAAGGTTGTAATTGATAGTAATCAGTTTTCTTTTCACTTGTAACTGTTATTACTGATTACATTGTACATTCATAATCTCAGAATCTTTTCAACTGCTTATAAATAGAAGTTTATATAATTTTTTCCTGTTAATCAAAATTTACTGATTTTTGTCTTTCTTACTAAACGACGAAATGCATTCTCATTTACTACTCATATGTATACTTTGGGCTGTGCGAGACAACGAAATCAAACAAAAGTGAATTAGTTTTTATGCAAGAAACTTATTCGTCTAGCTTTAATGTAAAAAAGGAAGATGCTTTATGAAGACTTTTGGTTAGTGAATTTGGGAATCATTTCACTTCTTAGAAACTGTTTGTCAGGCGAGGTCTAATCCCAAGGTTTACCAGTCTCATGAATTCTCATTTGAGATATGCACTTTTTACTCTGTCTTGTTCGTTTTTGAAACCCTCTGTTTTAAACTGCTAAGAAATGAAATTGGGATTATTTCGACCTTATGACCATCATGATAACAGAAATCAATGATGACCGAAAAAATCTAGCTGTTCAGTAAGGAATTGTAGCTAGCGAAATGCTGAACAAGTTTTTGTTACTTGACAAATTTATCCTTGTGGATAAAACTCGAAGCTATATAGTCTTATGCAACAAATTGCTGTCCGCAACTCGTCGAATTCACCGGGGGGATGTATTTACATTTAATATTTCTGTAAGACTTCAGTATTTTTCGCCGACAGACTGTTCTGATTAAAAATGCATGGTGATTGAATTTGAAATGGAAACTGGAGTCGTAGCAGTAATCTAAACAATATCCTCAGGGCTATCAGCCCGGTATCCTACTGACTGAGCTACGAGATTAGACTACTATTATTATGGCACAGCGTCGTATGTGGTCAATACATGATCTTTTGTTAATGTTAGTTTTGAATTAAAATAAAATCAGTCAAAGTCGGCGTTCGCCATCATTCAAGTATCATGTATTTGTCGTATACATCTTATATAGATAAAATTTATGTATCCCACTCTATCGTATTAGTATACATTCTAAGCATCAGGCTTAAATAACCAGTAAGTGAAGTATATTTAGAATTGACGTATATAAATAATACTATAATATAAATTTGTAGTGCTTCTTCTTATTGTATAGGTTTCGAAGATATCTAGCCATAGACTGACAAATGCATGTGTCACATTGTTCTTTCGTTTTGTTATATGAATTAGTTATAGGTAGTTCAGTTACTATTTGATTGCTGAAGTTTTACTGTCGTCATAACGTTTTGTTGTTTCTTTTCGTTTCTTATTGACAATCCAATGATTTGCATTTTAAAGCCTCTTGTCTAAAGCATGCTTTTGAAATTCATAATCCAACTGTTATATTATTAGGGATAAAATAATCTATTCAACTTAAGACACACTCTTACTTTAACGCTGAATGATTCCGATTCGAATCTCCAACAGGACATGAGTTTCCTCAAGGTTGCAGATATGCCCAACTTTCGAGCTTCAACAAGCACAAAGCATGAGTCAGGCAGTTTTCTGAATAGTGATACCAAACACGCTACTCTACAGTGTTGCATCTCTTAGAGCCCGTATTGCTCATGCTACTGGTGAATTTCGGTCTGAACTGAAGACTTGAAAGAGTGATTACTAAATCATTTGGGGATCACTTCTTTGAACAATTTGCGTTTCAGGAGCCATGGGCACTTATATACATTTAAATACAACTATTATTTTGCATGATGACATCTTTTCATGTTCATGGAAAGAAAAAATTACTGGATATCGTTTAGTAATTTCGTATGAAGTGTTGTCTCTACTTGTATTGTGTCATAGGATAGCATTTTCACCCACTTAGTAATAACAATCCTGATGTCTGATTGTCCTCATGCAGACGATTGACTTGTGTTAACCATGTAGGCGTTTTAGTTTTATCTTTTGAACAAACTTGGTTACTGTTGCTAGATGATCACAAAAAATATAAATTTATCTTTTTCAGCCCATTAGTTAATAATTATAGTAATGTGAGTTTTTTTGTTACTCACACTTCTTTCGAAATTCTGTTTATGTAGGAAGATGGAAGCAAGGAGATAGATACTTACCAAATCTTTGGTGTTAGCCTAGGAAATATTCTGTACATCTTGAGGTGTAAATCT